AAATTTTTTTTTAATTCCTCTTAACGCTATTACATAAAGCTGAATTTGGTTAAAGCAGAAATGGAGGGAGAAAAGTGAGCGTGATTTACCGATGTAGGAGAGTCAAGCAGATTTGAATGCTAAATTTGTAGTTGATGGGAAATAGAAAAGGCCTTGGGATGGGCCACTGAAGAGATTCAGCTCGCAAAGTAGTTGCGTTTTTTGCTTTTTATCACATGTTTCCGTATGTTTTGGTATGTTTCTTCCCAGCTTGACTATGAATTGAACTTTTAAAGGTGGTGAAATTTGGCTTGTGGAAATGGAAGAGCGAGTTGTATAGTAGAAATTATATAAAAGAAAAAAGGATTAGTTTTGGTCTAAGATCTGGACAAATTCAGCTTTACCTGATGCTGTTACTGATACTCTGATGTTACCTTTTGTTTTGTTCTGATGTTCTTTGTTCTGTTGTTTCTGATTCTGATGTTACTGATGTTACCTGATGTTCTCAATTGCGGATTTGCTTTTTTTGGCTCTGCATTATGTTCTTCTTGGATTGTAACTATATTCGAATATGGGTGTTGATTCTGCTTTCCGTTGTGTACCGATCGTCATTTGATGAAGTTTTTCAAGTTTCTGGCGTTTTGACAGGATAATGAAAGTTCATTGTGACCAGGATAATGAATGCTACGGTCCCCGTCATTCAGCCTGGCCTTCGCTCCAGATTTTCTTAAACTTTCAAATATAACACCAGCCAGATTTGGCAATTTGTTTTGACTCCGGGTGAAATTGATTTGGCAACCATATCTATTTGTTGCTACTTTGTTTTTGATTGTTTCGTGTTTGTGCAAGGCGAATCGGTTTCTTTGTTAATGTATTTATTCAACTGTAATTTTCTTCAGCCGTGTATTTGCTTGTTTCGCTTTTTGCTTATGATTTGTTTAGACTGTATTTATATTCTGTCTGAATATAAATACAGATTCACAATGTTCCATTTTCCATTTTTTGAAGATTTTGCTAGCTTTTATCGTCTAAGAAATTCTCCTGAGCCTTCAAATTTGCTATCAGGGAACATGTGAAGCTTTATGTGTCATGGAGAGGCTTTAGATGAAGTTGGGTTTATAACTCGTTTTTTGAAAATCTCTTTTTTTCACTTTTCTGGAACGGGAACAGCTGCGGGGTTTTTTTTTGGAGGGCGGGGGGGGGGGGGGGGGGGAAAAAAAAA